GTGATATTTAATGGATCGGATTACATTTTTTATTTTTCTCCGATATCCGATCCAGTAATTTAGGTCAGTATCGGACCGATACCGATACGTAATATCGGATCGGTCCATCTCTAGTAACTACTGCACCATGGTCCATTCCAGTAAGTGCATTGTTGAATAGGCACACTTCATAACATCAAGAGGATAATAAAAAGTGTGCTATTGAATTCAACTGAACTCAGATATTTATACATATATAAATATGCTCTGGCAGAACCAGGCTCAGGGAGTGGCAGCCATCTGTTGGTTGGGGGTGAGGGGAAGAAGACAAGACAAAAGACACGTTTCGGAAGAGACAGAAATTAGTAATAATTAAATGCAGGTGGTGTATAAACACATAAGTAAAAAAAAGTGTAAAGAAGAAGTAAGAAAGAAAAAGAAAACATCAATTTCACAGTGAATTAGAGGAAGAGTTTTCACTACTGTGAACGATTCATGTGGCAACGGCAAAGCGGCACAATGTGGAGAGACGTTTCTGAACGTGTCACACAAGCTGCCATGCTCACTACCCGATGGGCAGAAACAGCCCGTGAGTTAAAGGCAGGTTTGAGCAAACAGCAGTCTTTTTTCACGAGAACTGTGAAAAACTCCCAAAAAGCCTCATTTAGAGCTACACATTTCTTAATTAAGAAAAAGAAGGCATTTTCAGACGAGAAGGTTTTCAAAGAAGCAATCATGATAATTGCAAAAACTGTGCTTAAAGAGGAGAAATATGGAACTGATGTAATCTCCATTCTCTCCAATGTCCAACTGGGGGCAACTACAATAGTTAGAAGAGTGTCGGCTATGTCCGGGAACTTGGCTGATCAGCTGGACTGGGACCAGGCAGAGTGCAGGTGGTTTAGCATCCAGTGTAACAGTCTGTGGACAGCAGCAGCACAGCTGATGGTCGTCATCTGGATGGTATTTGACGATTTCTCCACAAAAGAACTTCTGACACTACTGTCACCAAAGACAACTATGAGGTCTATGAGGAGTTGACATCTATAACGCTGTGACGGAGTTTTTCACAGAGAAAAAGGTACCGGTGGAAAAACTGGTATCAGTGACCACCGACAGGGCTCCTGCTATGACCAGCCAACATACAGGATTCATCCCTCACTGAAAAGGTGACACGGAGTTCCTAAACTTTATGCTGGGGTACACCAGCATGGTGGACACTTGACCTTTCATTTTAAAGGACATTACTGGGAAACTGAAAGCTGCAAGGCAAAGGTAAGACTGTTGCTGACATAAGTGCTTTAAATGCATTTAAAGCCCAGAGGGACATTTTTCTCTGTGCATTTACAGAGAAAAAAGGTGCTCCACTTCCTCTCTGTGCTGAAAAGATAATGCTTCTGCATCTGAGACTTTTGACAAAGTTGCAGAAAAGTACTCTTAAGTCATAAACAGGCTTGGACAAGACTTTGAGAACAGGTTTTGGGACCTTGATCAGTTTAAGCCAAGTGTGTTGTTCATTTCCAAACCTTTCATGAACGTGGAAACAACGTGCATTGCTCAGTGCGATGCTCAGCTTGGATGCTGGACGGGTGGAAATTGTAACACTGCAAAATGACCTTTACCTCAAAGCCCATCAGGATGAACCAAACTTTCGGTGCCTCGTTGACACAGAAAGTACAGTGGTGTATGCACAGCAGCTGAGAAGGTGGCCAGCCTGTTTGGTTCAACCCATCTTTGTGAATCGTTACTACTGAGCAAATGTTTGAAAGGGGCTGGATTAGTTATATACTTGCCTCTCTGCTAAGATGCATCCAGCAGTCCACCCAGGTGGGATATACTGACGCATAGGGATCTCTGCCTCCAGCAAGCCTAATGAGAAAGTTATAATATGAGTCTGCATGAATTTAGCAAGTTTGACAGCAGAACATGACGAGCTAACTTACCCACAGTTATTGACAGCCATTATGTTTGACACCAAAACAAAAGGATAGGTGAGCATGCTGGCAAAGAACTGCAAGAAAGAGGATGAACAGCATGAGACTGAGAGCCACAAACAGCTGCACTGACACTGTCTGTTACACTCACCCCTGTCATCGCCTGAGAGCAGTTCTTGATTTCTCCTGTGTGACTCATCTGTTCAGAAGAAGAGTCACTATTAGTCTGTGTTAGAGCCTCAATTTAAGACTGCTTGACAAAACCCCTCAAGATCTATGTCAGTGCGATACAAAAAAGTAGTTACCTAAACATACAATGAAAAAATCTAACAAACAAAAGATGGCTGTTGCGTTTTGGTTTTGATTTTTTGCATGCACAAACTTGAATTTCAGGTATTTAGGAAAAAGGTATTTAGATTACAGAAGCCCCTAACTGGAGGACATAGTATACCGAGTCATCAATGGCATATGTATTGATGAGGTGAGCCAGCAGGTTACAAATCCACAGAGAAAGGACATCACCCAGCAGGCGAGGAATCAAACCACTAGGAAAAAGGAAACACAAACAAATAAAGATACACACACCTTAGATAAAAGAGAAAAAGTAGAGATACTATGATCAAACACTGGGTTGTTTGGAGACTGAAGCCTAACACTGGCTGCAATGATGTTAGCTTAACTCACTCTTTGGCCTGAAGAAAAACAAGAGATACTCAGATATGGTGCTGCAACAATTCACTGAGTATTTCGAATAATTCGACTACAAAAAGTTCTTTGCTTCGATGCGTCGTTAAGGGACCCCTCTGCAGCGCCACTGTTACCATGGAAACTCGAACACGAGCATTTCAGCCACATTTACAACTAAAAACAGACTCAATACAAACGTATTGATTAGCAGTGTGTGAATAATGCCCGACACACACTGATACCACAACAGCAGCAGTGATGATGACGACGCTGGCACAGTCTAACAAAGAGCTGGAGTCTGTTTTACACACTGCGAGGAGCAAAGAGCTCAGCTGAAGAGAACGGGTTTCACATATTCAAAAAAGCAGCGTTGTTTTTGTAATCAGAGTCCTGATCAGCAAACTCTGACGTGATAAAAACAAAGAATATGTGTAGCTGCTTCATTCAGCGCCGTTTGTTTCACACAGCGAAAAATCGACTGTAGCCTCCAGAAGTTGCACAAAAACACGCAGATGAACTGTTAGCTTAGTTTCAGTTGTACAACTTTCTGAATGTTGAGACCAACCTTCCTATTTTAAATGAAAGCGAGTACAGGTGGCATTATCTAAAATTAAAGCGTCTTTCACAAGCCAGTAAACTCAGAGCCACTGACCTGAAGGTTGTTAGGTCGTACACTAGGGCTGCCACAAACGATTATTTTGATAGTCGACTAGTCA